CTATCTATCTATCTATCTATCTATCTATCTATCTATCTATCTATCTATCTATCTATGGATGAATTGGTTGGTATTCTTTCATCTCTGAAACAATGCTTCATTTCTCATGAAATTTAAGCTAAAAGCAGTTGTCTAATCCAACATATCTATGTGCCTTTACTGTGTGATAGAGTTTACAACAACACACAACAATGGTATGAAAGGATTTGCTGGTATTCCTAAATAAGTTATTTATTCTTGCTGTGTAATTATGAATCAAAACTAAGTGTTTGACCTTAATTAGTATCACCGGTGCTTTTCTTCAGCCATTCAGCCTAATTAAAGGGAACAAATGAGGTGAGCCTCTGGGCAGTTTGGAATGGTYGTGTGCACAACACTCAATATGAAGCGTTGAAAACAAAGGTGGGAGCTGTCTGAGGAGCTCAGAAAGAAAATTATAATCATATAAAACATAAAGGCTGTGGACCATGCAGATTTATGCTCCCGTGACCATAATTATCATAATTATTAAAAAGTATAAAGTTCATGGGAATGCTGCCAACTTCCCAGGATGTGGACGCAAGAAGAAGTGCAACACCAGATTAATTGGATTTTAGAAAAAGGGCTAAAGGAACCATTTCAAACCATTCAAGCTGAACTCCAAGGTCAAAGTAGATCACTTTCTGATTACAACACCCATCACATTTTCAATCATAATGGAAATGAATAGAAATAGATTTGAAAAAAAAAAACTAAGAAAAAAATCACCAAAATACAGGATAACAAACCACAAAGTTTCTGGGAGTGACAAAGCTGGAGCTTTTTGGCCAGTCACATCACTTAAAATTGCATCTGTTTTTTTTTTTTTTTTTGCTATGGAAGGGATCCACATTTGAGTAAATGTACTGTATACATCTCTAATAACATCAAGGACATCGAGGGACAGTAGGCAGCAGATGTAACTGGATCCGTCAGATCATTTTGTCCCTTTTTGTCTGCCTAATTCTTCGTCTTGATTTCTTGCAGAAAATGTGGCTTTGATTCAGTAAAAAGAAAAACTGTTGTCCAACATTGAGACTGAGAGGAAGACAAATAGCTGGTGGAGATGCCATCACTGTACTTTTAACCTCAATCTTTGATTTGTGGGAGTTTTTAATTGAGTTTTTCTGAAAATAAAAAAAGAAGAAATAACTATGGCATAACTGTGAAAAGGCAAAACCGAAACACATTTCAAGGTCAGACTCAGTTTATGCAGACAACAAAACTGTCTCGATACAGTAGAAGAACATCTTTGATAGATTTTCCTCGCTCCTAAAATAATCAATATCCACCATCTATTGTTYGCACAAGTTATGAGCTGTCCTTATTTTAGGTGAATAAAGAAAAAAACAGTTGTACAGGCCTGGTGAAATGTATGTAAATGTGTCCCTCCATGACAATGAGAACAAAACAATACTCACAAACAGTGTCTCTGCCTGTCCCCAGCAAACACAGGCCCCTCCTCCTCCTCCTCCTCTGGATTCCCGTCCTTTTGTGGTGGGGCGTCTGTGCTGCCAAGTCCAGACTCTGTCTCGGGGGCCTGACTGGAAACGGTGTCGTTTAGGGGAGCAGAAGAAGGTGGTCAAACTCGGAGCCTGAAGATGTGTCACAGTCCAAACTCTCCCAACAGTTTCACATCCTCGGGGCCGGCCCCTGGAGAAATAGGAGCACGAGAAAGATGTGAGAAAGAATGGGCCTTATTTTCTCTCCGTACAATGAAGGGCATTGAACAAAAAAAAAAAAAAAAAAAAAAGGAGGGGAATGAGCAGAATGGCAGCTGGGAGGAGATGTTGCTGAATTACAACAGCCAGTGGCTTATTGTCAGTCTCTCAATGTGATTCTGTTCGTATCTGTGAGGGAAGATAAACATTGTAGCGAGACCAATTTTTGCTGTTTTACACAAACCTATTGATATTTTTGTGTTATTACAGCAAGAAATATTTTAATTTTGCTCATTTTTCTGAAACTGGGTGTGCTTATGGCTAACAATCATTCATCACACATTCAGTGCAGGTCATTATTCCAGATTTGGCTCAAACCTTTAACATTAACTGTTGGAGACAACCTTGTCTCAAACAAGCTAACAGTGATCTTTGCCACTAGATCAGGGGTGTCAAACTCAGTTACACAAGGAGGCCAAAATCTAAATGCTGGCCCAGGCCAAGGGCCAGATTCTGTCAATATTTATTGAAAAACACTTATATAACAAATAGGGGTGCAACAATACMTGTACCCGTATCGAACCGTATCGAACAGTGCTTTAGGTTCAATACACACTCGTATCGAACAACACAGATTTAAAAAATTTACTTTATCAGCTTGTCTTCTGAAGATGCTCTGTGTTGAATTATCAGTGGATCTGTGTTCGACTACTTCACCTAAGCTGTGTTTTTGAGCACAGAACCACTGAGAAACTTGCTGTTTCAGCAACATTTAATTAAAAAAACTGTACTTTTTAGGTTAAATAAATGTTCATAATTAATTTAAATAAATTACAAGTTAAAAAGGGCATGGAAATTTCTTTTTTTGGTATCGAAAAAATATCGAGTGAGACTAAAGTATCGAACCGAACCGAATTGTGAATTTTCTGTATCGTTGCACCCCTAATAACAAAGTATTTTTATAGAAATACAAATGACCTTCATCAAATTATGTTTTACGCTTACTTTTTCCACTTCAAAACCGCAGATTACTAAAACATTCAAGTGTGATTTTCTTGGTTTGAACATTGTCATAAGAAGAATGTTTTAGTGAACTCACAACACTATTTTACATCTAAAGAATTCCCTTTAGGGCCACATAAAATGGTAACGAGGACCTGATTTGGCCCGCAGGCTTTGAATTTGACACATGAGCCCAGATGGGTTTATTGAAATGCTCAGAAAATAATCAATTTCCTTTTTCCTCTCATTTCCTCTTGTTTGTCTTCCGGCCTGTAACATTCCTCAATTTTTATGCAATTTTAACATTTTATCATTGAAAATGAGCTGCTTGAGCTGTTTTCAATATTCTTAAACACTTTCAAAATGTCCATAAATTTTTACCGTTCTTTATATTTTTCATCTTCTATTTTGCTGATTTTAGTATTTTCCACTTTTTATATCATCATTCTGACCTTTTCTGTTTTTCTTCTGTTATATTAAACTTTATTGTGCTTCTTTCAGCTTGTTTCTGCTATTATCAGCCTGTTTCAACTGCTTTCTGAGTGAAATTTAACTTTGAGCTTTTTTCCAGCAAAATTCCCCTTTTTGTGATAACTTCATCTTCTTACTGCTTAAATCAGCAAAGAAGTACTCTTTCTATTTATTTGTGTTAATTTTAGCTAGTTCATATTTTAGGCTTTTTTTAGTTATTCAGGACAATTCTTTCAGCGTTAGACAATCACACAGGAAATGCAAATGATCTAGTTGAATTTTCACCTACAACTGTTTAATTTAAAATGGTCACTGGAGCATACTGACAAAGACAAACATCACTGCAACTCAGTTAATTTGACCAATATTGAGTTAAACATTAATAATGTTGAGAGTCATTCCAAACATACTCTGAGTGAAATCTTTCAATAATGCATGATAATGTGCAAAACATTTATTTCAGTGTTTGACTAGACAACTACAAGTTWGTCATCCCTCAGCATAAACTGATTTTGAATGAAAGCCTGTGGGTGATATGCATTATTTCAGGGATTACTGTAATTAAATACTTCATTTGCCTTGAGGAAACGAGGAGCAAAATGACCAAAAAAGTGGCACATGGCCAAGTGGCAATTTCCCAGTTTATCCAGACTACGAGCTAATAATAGCTGCCCTCCTCTTATGCCAGTCCTCTGAGACCAGCTTCATTTTTAAATTGTCCATTTGGGAGAAATGAGACAAACACATCAGCTGCAGCTTTCTCTCACTCCACCACAATTCCTCTGCATGACTCCCACAGCTACCGCGCTCCATTATTGATGAGACTTCCTCTGGGGGCCTCATCTGCCCCTGTGTTGGTAGGGACTCTGCTTGTGGGCAGCTGCTGTGGTGGTGGTGGAGGGAGAAAAGAACCAGCTGATGCCACACACAATATATATATA